TATTTTATTTTAAAAAAAGTTAAAATAATATAAAGTGTTTGTAAAATATTCCTAAAATGAATAAATATAGCATTTGTTAAGAAAAAATGAATTTAATATTTATCATGACATTCGTCTTAACATTTGTTAGGACAATGAATTTAATTATTATTTTAATTGAAATTTAATTTATTTTATCAACATGGACATTTGAAAATTTGAATGGAAAAATGTATTTAAAAAAACGTTGAAAATTATCCAGTATTTATTAAAAGAAAGTTGAAAAAGGAACAGTACGCTGCTGTTAATGTTAGAAATCCTAATAACATTGACCAAGTCTTTGTCAAACTCTTTAATTATTTGAATTATTCAGATTTTTTTTTGAAAAAATTATTTAAAAATTATTTAAAATTTGTGAAAAAATTAAAAAAATATATATAAAAATATATGTACAAAAAATAGCTTTTCACATAATATTATTTCTGAACATTACTTGTGAGATTTTTTTTCACTTATAATATATTGAATAATAATTATATTTTTATATCAACACCCAGTTGGTCTAGTGGGACGAGGTACTAGATTCCTTAAGCAATGTAGAAGATTCAAATCCTGACAGTTGTGAATTGAATAAATTGGGTGAGAGGGTCACTCTTGCCACTGCATTACTCGATCCAATTAATCAATCAATAAATTAAATACCGCTAGTTATAAAAAATCATAATTTTATATTAATTTTAAATTTTAAATATAAAATATAGTATAATTTTATATTAGATATTTGAACTAATTAGACGGGTACAAATTAAGGTTTAACTTGGTCAGTATGACTTATTATTGGTTGATTAATTTGGTGTTAAAACGGAAAATGAAAGTTCAACTTTCGACAAATTTGACTTCAAATTATTAAAAAAAAAACTATTTTAGCATGCTTTTACGCATGGTTTACCATATTTGACCTTAAATAAAAAAAGGTAAAGTACACAAATGGTCCCCAACTATAGGGTGATATTTCGTTGAATTCCTTGACTATTCAAAGTTACAAAACAATCATAAGATTATAGGATGTTGCTTTGTTGAGTCACCACAAAAGTTATAAATTGGTCACTCGGCTATTTATATATTCAAAAATCGTCATTTTCGTTAAAAATCTGACTACAGATTGAGTTGGACACTAATTTGTTGACTGAGATATAATAAAATTTGATCATAGAATCTCAAAAGACTATCACATCATAGTTAGCATGTTAATGTCAAACTCAGAGGATCTCTAATTTTTTTTTAAAGGAAAAGTTTGGAACATATGACTAATTGGATGATCATTTCGTAACTTTTAATAATCGAAGGACTCAACAAAACAACGCCCTATAGTTGAGAGATCATTTTGTAACTCTTCTTAGTATCTTCTTTGAACATGATGGGATTTTTGCTCTTAGGTTGGGGATAATTCCATGCCTTCTGGTTTAGCATTGGCTTTTCTTCATTTGTTATGTTTGAATTTAAGTTTTTGTTCAAGGTAAAGTAGTGAAATTAAAGTAATTGTAGCTAGTTTGTGCTTTAAGTGGTTGGAATTATATATATATGTGTGTGTGTGCGTGCGCGCGTATTTGTAGTAAGTTGTTGGCGATGATTGCACGATAATTTATCCTCAGCCCGGGACAGTGCCAGGATGAAACGTCAGGGGTAAATATAAGGGTATACTACGCATTTAGTGCGTAGATTATTAATTTTGATCCGTTTTAGTATTTAAACTTTCAAATTTTTTGAAATCATACCTAATGTTTAGTTTTTGTTTCATTTTAGTACCCACCGTTAAAAACTTAGCGCGTTTAGTACCTAAACTATCGGTTTTGGTCTGTTTTAATACCTAAAATTTCAAAAAAATCCAAAAATTAACAAAAAATTTTGAGTAGGGGTACTAAAATGAAACAAAAACTAAAATTTAGGTATGGTTTTGAAAATATTAAAAGTTTAGGTACTCGAAAGGACTAAAATTGATAGTTTAGATACTAAACGCTTAATTTACCATAAATATAAATATGAATCAAATGATGGTCAAAGCCTAACTGTTAAGCCATCAATTTGAAATTGAAAATGGAGGGTTTTGGATCTAATTTGTTCAATTTTGAAATTGAAGGGATGTAAAAAGTATTTAAACCAAAAAACCGCTGGCCAAAGCTTAATTTGTTGCAAATGGGTAGAAAGAATGATTTTCTTTTCTTATATATGTACTTTTGAGTGTGTATATATACATATATATCATATCAGTTAATGTTTTTGATAGCAACAGAGATGTTGTATGCACAATGAATAGTTCAAACGTGCATATGTCCGTTGTCGTCTATGTTACTCCGACTCTTCATTTTTCTTAAGCCATACCCTTGTTAATCTCTCCGACACACTTTTAGACGTGGGTACGGAGATATACTCTCCAAAACTCGAAATACATGGAGAAAAAACTCGAAACTTATTAAACCGACTCTTGTAGGACACATACCCGTTTCTGGCGCTCCCAGTCAAGTCCGAGTAACATAGGTTGTCACTATGATAACATTCATGTTTCACTCCTTGATTGTTTGCAGCTAGTTTTGTTTGCATGTCGGAATCATAAATATTTTGTGCCATTTGCTGGACTCTTCTTTTCTGTTTGTATAAAGATGATTTGCTTGGGGATGATGCCTCTTGTAGATATCATCAATTTGTCCCCTAAAGTAAACCGTGTTCCCTTCATCGTTGCGTATTGATATGCACTATAAGTCTAATACACTGTTGGCTTTCTGTGCATCCTCGTTAATGGATATATCCTCAATCTCCGTCTTGTTCGACCATCACTTTTAGATTAATTTACAAGTTTTCAGTCATACAAACATGGTAGATTTTGGTTGATTGTCTTAGGTATCCGATGCTCGATCAAGATGAGCAAAAGTTTAGCAACCTTGTCCCGAGATGGTCACTGCTGGAGCTCGTAGCCGATTACATGCATGAGTAAGTTGTGCATAGAAATGAGCATATTTACCATTCTTTGAATAACAATGCAATGTTGTAGGAGTGGAGAAAGGTTCCAAAGACCCGCAACAAGAGAAAGTGGGGAAGATCATGATCGATCAATTACGTGCTATCGCTACTGAAATGCTACCCGATTTGAATTGAACGACCATCGAATCGGCTATGAGAATTATAGCCGGGACGGCTGCTAACATGGGAATCGACGTCGATCCACCCGTTCTCGAACCGAAAAAGAAAGTAATACTCGTTTAGATGTAGTTACCTACTTTGTTATCTGTATCAATATTTACCAGTACTTGTTGCCCCCATTTTACCATTTCACTCCACAAGAGTAAGAAATTCATTAGAAATCCCGAATGTAGATCTTGATACATGTTTGTATCGTGTTCAACTTATGGTTGATGATCAATCTAATCATCAATTTCGAGTTTTAGATGCTAATTCGAACTTGAAGTGTTTATTGTACGCATAAATTCATTAGAAATACCGAATGTAGATCTTGATACATGTTTGTATCGTGTTCAACTTATGGTTGATGATCAATCTAATCATCAATTTCGAGTTTTAGATGCTAATTCGAACTTGAAGTGTTTATTGTACGCATAAATTCATTAGAAATACCGAATGTAGATCTTGATACATGTTTGTATCGTGTTCGACTTATGGTTGATGATCAATCTAATCGTCAATTTCGAGTTTTAGATGCTAATTCAAACTTGAAGTGTTTATTGTACACATAAATTCATTAGAAATACCGAATGTAGATCTTGATACATGTTTGTATCGTGTTCGACTTATGGTTGATGATCAATCTAATCGTTAATTTCGAGTTTTAGATGCTAATTCGAACTTGAAGTGTTTATTGTACGCATAAATTCATTAGAAATACCGAATGTAGATCTTGATACATGTTTGTATCGTGTTCGACTTATGGTTGATGATCAATCTAATCGTCATTTTCGAGTTTTAGATGCTAAATCTAATCATCAATTTTGAGTTTTAGATGCTAATTCGAACTTGATGTGTTTATTTTACGTAGAAATTCATTAGAAATCCCGAATGTAGATCTTGATACATGTTTGTATGGTATTTGACTTATGGCTGATAATCAATCTAATCATCAATTTTGATTTTTAGATGCTAATTCGAACTGTGTTTATTGTATGGATAATTTGACTGTCCATGTAGTGCTTTTAAATTTTAGTTCGTGCCTAAATTGTTAGATAGGTTGACTGAATTATCTAATTGATAATGATACTTTGATGGTTAAATTAAAACGAACTGAGGTTTGAAAACTTATTTATAATTTAGGGTTCAGTACAACAACAACTAGTGAAATTAACCTTAAATATTAATATAACTGCGTAAATTATGCATTTAGTCACCTAACTTTGCTTTTATTTTTTTGTCATCCAATTTTAAAATTTTAATTTTTTTCATCCAATTTTTGAGTTTTTTTCCCTACTCAAGTGTTAGTTGATGGATCACTAGCTACTAGAGATCGATCGTGAGTTACTAGAGATCGACTCGATCAAAACTCGATAAATACTCACTCAAGGTCTAATGATATTATAAATATCTAGTTTTTCAAAAAGAATTCATATTAAACTTAACTTACAAGACAAGTATATTTATCGTATAATTAATTTTAGGGTAAGTGTCTAAATCATTAGTTTTGATATATTTTAGTACTTAAACTTTTAATTTTTTTTTTAAAATCATACTTAATGTTTAGTTTAGTTTCATTTTAATACCTCACTGCTTAAAATTTAACACATTTAATACCTAAACTATCAATTTTGGTCTATTTTAGTACCTAAACTTTTAATTTTTTAAAAATTTAACGTTAAATTTTGAACATGGGTATTAAAATAAAATAAAAACTAAATTTTAAATATGATTTTAAGAAAATAAAAAGTTTAGCTACTAAACACGTAATTTATCCTTAATTGCAGCTAAACTTATAGCGACCAAAATCCGAAAAACGCTACGCTAAGAAATAACTATCCATCCCGACTTAAAAACAACGCTACGCGAATCACCCGACCCTACGAACCCCCGCCCCTTCGTCGCTCTATTCGGGGCTCTCCCCGCCCCTCCAGCACCCTTTCTAATTCGGGGCTCTAAGTCTCTGTCTCTCTCTCTCAATCTCCCGATTCAGATCGATCCCCCAAAAGCCTTCGTTTTCTCTCCAAAAACTGTCTCTCTTTGGTTATCGTTCCTATCCCACTCCCACTGCTACACTGCTCAATCTCACAACGCTGCTTATTGTTTCCATTTTTCTCTTGGTAGGTTTCTGGAAGTGCTTATCTTAGCTAAGGCTTCGCCCGCGATTCGTTGAAGCATCGAACACCTTGGTAATATACCTATTTCTCTTTGCTTCACTGTATTTTTTTCATTGTTTATTTGTAGTGTTAAATAAATTCATCGGAAGGAAAAATGGAGAAACATAGGTTGAAATTCAGCTGAAAGATGGATCGGGAGTTTGGCTCATCGCTTCATGTTTACCACATTTAATCTACTTTTACTAAGTTGATTCAAATTTCGCATGGATTCTGTTTAGCTTATTGATTTATTACTTATTGAAGTTTTTTTGTTTGCTTAATTTGCTTCTTGTTTTGTTTTTTCTCTCTTTGAGAATCAAGGACGACTGTGGAGTGAAAGAACAATAGAAAACGAAGATGTTTGGTTCAACGAGCCGTAAGTTTATTTTTATCTTACGTTTTATTAAATCCGGTAGAAATGTACTAGAAATCTTATTTTGATTTGATTCTCTGAGCTGATCTTTTGATGATTTTATATTTAGTTTCCATTCTTTATTAATTCTAGGTGTTTGTGGCTTGTTACTTCGTATTGTACTTTGGAACTCCGAGTTAGGTTTCTATGTTGTATGCCGTGAATCCGTGATAAACACTGATTATTGTTAACTGTTTACAGTATCTCTCTTAAGGTAATTTTTTTTATTATTGATCTATTTCCTGTTTCTATGTTGTATTTTATTGGGAAAAAAGTCTATCCTATAGCACGATCTTGCCTGTTAACTATTTAGTAGGTTGTTTAGCTTCTTGATCAGTTGTTAGTTATATTGTTTTAATTACTAGCCAAGTCCTTGTGCTTGTTATTGATCGACTTTCATGATTTGTTTATGATATATATGCTTGTATTTTATTCATTAATGATTAAATTTTGCTTTTATCTCTAATCTATATGTTAACCTTTTTGAGAATAAATTTGTTATTACTTCTGACCTTTTTTGGAAAATTTAATTAAATTAGCAATGCTTTAAACAGCTTTTGGGCAATCATCAAGTAGCCCATTTGCTTCCCAATCTGTTTTTGGCCAGACCAACAACACAAATAGCAATCCATTTGCTCCTAATCCTTCCTTTGGTAGTGTTACCCCTTTTGGATCTCAAACAGCCGGTTCAATATTTGGGGGTACTTCTACTGGAGTGTTTGGTGCTGCCCAATCTTCTTCTCCCTTTTCCTCAACAACTGCCTTCGGTGCCTCATCATCTTCAGTTTTTGGAAGTTCCATGCCAGCTTTTGGATCTTCTTCTACTCCAGCATTTGGCAGTTCATCATCATCTTTTGGTGGTAAGCGTTTCTGTGTTTTTTTGTTTTCTTTTATGGTATTATAATTCAGTTCACCTTCAATTATTATTCTTTCTGTTGTAGTTAAATATATTAGAGATTATGATTTTAAATTTTGAATGTCTTTTAGTCTTTTAATATTTGTGATGCTTTATTCCCAGTGTTCCAATACCACACATGTGTAGATCATTGAGCTGTTATGCTTACCCGTAATCATGCATGCCTATATAGACATATTCATGTTACCGTTAGTTACACTTTATTTTGAGGAAATGAAAGAATTATTGTTTCATTTGTAAGGAACTCTTGTTTATTTCATTATTCAGTGAGCACCTAAATATGATCTTCAATGAGAGCTCTCTTTTGCAGAAGGAGCTCATGTTGTTTCTCGTATGCATCTAATTTGCTAATTTTTGGTAATTTGCTTTTAATTATATTCTTGTGTTGACTTCTTAGTCATTAGCTTTTGGGTAAGCTGGTTAATTTTCCTCAGTTTTGAACTGATGACCTTTCTTGTGGATAGCATCGTCTGTTTTTGGTCAGAAGCCTATGTTCGGCTTTGGGTCAACTACTACTCAATCAAGTCCTTTTGGAAGCACGACACAACAATCACAACCTGCATTTGGAAGTAGCATATTTGGTTCCTCTGTGCCTTTTGGTTCAACTCAGTCTGCATTCGGCGCCACCAGCACCCCTGCTTTCGGTGCCACCAGCACCCCTGCTTTCGGTGCCACCAGCACCCCTGCTTTCGGTACCACGAGCACCCCTGCTTTTGGTGCCACCAGCACCCCTGCATTTGGTGCCACGAGTACCCCTGCCTTTGGTGCCACGAGTACCCCTGCCTTTGGTGCCACGAGAACTCCTGCATTTGGTGTCTCTAATGCCCCGGTGTTTGGAACAGGAGGTACATTTGGAGCGTCAAGCACACCAGCTTTTGGCACTTCCAGCACTCCTGCTTTTGGAGCATCTTCAACTCCATCATTCAGCTTTGGGTCAGCATTTGGCCAGTCAACGCCTGCATTTGGTAGCTTTGGTGCCACAAGCACCCCTGCCTTTGGTTCCTCGAGCACCCCTGCCTTTGGTTCCTCGAGCACCCCTGCCTTTGGTTCCACAAGCACCCCTTCCTTTGGTGCTACAAGCACCCCAGCCTTTGGTTCAACTGGAAGTCCATCATTTGGGAGAAGTGGAACTGCATTTGGTACGCCTAATACCTCAGTCTTTGGAACTGGAGGCACTTTTGGAGCACCAAGCACACCTGCTTTTGGAGCATCTTCTACTCCTTCATTCAGCTTTGGGTCTAGCCCAGCTTTTGGCCAGTCAACACCAGCATTTGGTAGTAGTCCTTTTGGAACCACTGCTTTTGGAGCCCAGAGTTCTCCTTTTGGTGAGTAATAAAGTCTACATGATTAATTATGAAATTTGAAAATACATATATGTAATTAAATTCTTTTGAACTCTCATATAGGAAGTCAATCTTCTGCACCAGCCTTTGGAAGCACTAGCTTTGGCCAGTCAACTTTTGGGGGTCAACGTGGGGGAAGTCGAGTAGCTCCTTACACTCCTACTACTGAAGCAGATGGCGGGAGTGGCACACAGCCAGATGGAAAGTTGGAGTCAATATCAGTGATGCCTGTTTACAAAGATAAAAGTCACGAGGAATTGAGATGGGAGGATTATCAGTCAGGAGATAAAGGTACCTTTCTAAATTTTATGAAACTTGGGAGAGTGAAAATTTCTTATTTTCTTAAACTGACACTGGCTACCTTGATACATGAATTTGGAATTACAGGTGGACCTAATCCAGCTGCAGGGATTGGCTTTGGTGTGTCAACTACACCTTCAAATCCTTTTGGCTCATCTTCAACATTTGGTCAGACATCTGCAAATCCTTTTTCCAGCACAAGTACCAATCCATTTAGTCTAAAATCTCCATCCTTCAATAGTACGGGTTTTACAACCTTGGCTACTACGTCAAATCCTTTTCAATCAACATCATCAAGCCTTTTTGGCCCAACTTCGTCTATGACAACTTCAATATTTGGTTCATCTTCAACTCCTACATTTGGAACTGGTTCATCTCTTTTTGGTTCGTCTCCTTCATTTTCAACTTCACCATCCATTTTTGGTACTGGTGTAGCTACGGCAACAGCGTCTACATTTGCTACTGGTTTAAATTTTGGCGGCAGTCAGACATCCCCCCTGTTCAGTTCTACCCCTGCAATTGGACAGACAGGCAACAATTTTGGGCAGGCGACCTCTACATTTGGACAGAATACTACTAATTTTGGTCAAACAAGCATTTTCAACATTCCTTCCAATGCGTTTAGTGGGAATATGTTTTCAAGCTATCCCTCTTTGGCTTCTTCTAGCAGCCCAGCTCCCTTTGGCCAAACAACTGTAAGTTGCTTGTGAAATCATTACATTCATTCTTATTTTCATTAAGTTTATATTCTTTGTTCGTGTTATTTGGTTTGTAAAATGAGGCTAAAATGTTTGTTGCTTTAGTATTGCGAGATGTCTCATTTAGTTGCTAGAAGGACCCAAATATTTGCTTCGGTATTATGCAAATAGTAAAGACCCAAATAAGAGTTTTTTAACTTGTCGGATTTAGATGCCTTTCTTTTTGTTCGATAAAGAATCATAATTGCTATTTTATGAGGGTAGTTTTTCTTATATCTAATGATCAGGGGTCATGGGTACTGATTAAGTTAAATGTCACGAGTCCTCGTTGAAATATGTTTCAAATATTTTATGGAAAAAACTCATGCCTAGCTTTATGATTTGAGTGATTTTGCTAGTTGTAATTTGTAACTATTCTCTCTAAGTAATGCACAAGTCTTTTTTTTGTAAAACATGCTTCCTTTGAAACTCTTTCTGCATTTGAATTTGGAGTTTGGCTTCTTGTGCAGCCCTCTTTTTCTTCACCTTTTCAGCCAGCTCAGACCAGTGGTGCTTTCAGCTTCAGCAATTTTGGTCAGACGCAGTCAGGTAGTAGAGGTTTTATCTCAGATGTTATCATTGATTGTTTAAACTTTCATTGATAGAGCTGACATTAGTGATGTTGCTGGATTTATAGGTGGTGGATCGAGCATTTTTGGTCAGAGTAATATTGGCCTGTCGTATGTTTTATATCCTTTGGTTTTTTTTTTTTGAGCGGCTTTATACACATTCTTATATATGTCTACAAACATATGCATATTTGTTACTAGTATAAATTTTTCTTGTACTTTTGTGCACGTAAATGCAAAAAATGCCAGAATAAGTCCTTGTTTATCCAAATAGTTGAATGATTATATTTTGGAGCGCAATCCTGAGTGCTTCTATTTGACAGGGCTGCTACACAGAGTGCTGCTGTAGCTCAACCCTCGACTATTACAAACCCCTACGGGACACTCCCTGCTATGCCGCAAATGTCAATTGGTCGGACTGGGGCTGCCCCATCTGTTCAATATGGAATTTCTAGCATGCCTGTAATATGATCTTAGCTACTGATGCTTCAAGATTGAACTGCTGCTTTTTACTTGTTTTAGATATTTATCTGTTTCCATGCTAGTAGTTAGTATTGCCTATGATTTTTGCGTAAATTAAAATATAATGGTGTGTTGTTTTGACTGCTAATGGAATTATCAGGTTGTGGACAAACCTGCACCTATTAGAATATCCTCCTTATTGACTTCTCGATATCTTTCGCAAAGGCGGATCAGGTTGCCTGCAAGGAAATATCGAACTGATAAGGACAGTCCGAAGGTGAGGATGCCCCCATGAAAGTAGCAACTCTGATATTATTTAAAACGTTATTTCATTGCTCACCGTATGGGGTTAAAGTTCTAACAAGTTTTTGTTTTCTTTGTTCTGATATATGTAGGTTCCGTTTTTCAGTGATGATGAAGAGACACCCAGCGTGCCTAAGGCTGATGCTATAATTTTTCCTAGGGAAAACCCAAGGTCTCTAGTCATTCGTCCTATAGCAAATTGGCCTTCCAGAGCCTCTGCAGAGAAGGGATCGCCATTGAAGGATGCATCCTCTCCAGTGCATGAGAATGGTAAGATTCTTTCATGCTCGTCTACATTTCCTTTTCTGGACCAGGTGAATTAGATTAGAAGAGAAGCCTATAAACAGGGGTGACAGTTTATTGCTTTGAATCATATTACTTATTGCATTGAGAAAATGCAGTGATTTTGTTTTCGGATTTGTGAATTTGTGTGTAATTCATTTCATGATCGGTTTAGTTAATTTTTGACTGCTTGTGGCTGACTCTTTGGAGCCTCCTTTTCATGTAGGCAAAATTTCTGATGATGGCTCCAAAGCTGAGGATAAAGATGGTGAGTAGTATCTTTTACCTGAAATTGTAATCGCCTTCGATTTTGTATTGTGCCATTTTATGAAATTTATGTTCTTGTGATTTGAAAATTGCATCGGTCTTAAAGTTCTCCCTTTGTCATTATGAGGATTTATCTTGTAACTATTTCTAATTCATGAAAATTGCATTGGTATGATCATTGTAGAAAATCCTGCTGAAAATGATCACGTGAAGCATCCTGTTAAAGGTAACCAAAAGGCTAACGTAGTCCAGGATGATCATTCTGCCGAGAAAGAGGACTCGTACAAGAGGATCGGTGGCCACAGAGCTGGTGAGGCGGCTATTGCCTATGAGCATGGGGATGACATCGAGGCTCTAATGCCAAAGCTCCGCCGGTCTGACTACTTTACAGAACCTCGAATCCAAGAACTGGCAGCTAAGGAAAGGGCTGAACCAGGGTACTGTCGCCGTGTGAAGGACTTTGTGGTTGGGCGGCACGGTTACGGGAGCATCAAATTCCTGGGCGAGACGGATGTGAGACGTCTTGATCTAGAGTCTCTTGTCCAGTTCAACAACCGTGAGGTGATCGTTTACCTGGACGACTGCAAGAAACCTCCTGTCGGACAAGGACTTAATAAACCCGCGGAGGTAACACTTCTCAACATCAAATGCTTCGATAAAAAGACCTCAGAGCAATATACAGAAGGCATCCGAGTCGAGAGATACAAGAACATGCTCAAGAGGAAGGCGGAGGAGCAAGGAGCTGAGTTTCTGTCGTTCGATCCCATCAAAGGAGAATGGAAGTTCAAGGTCAATCACTTCAGCTCGTACAAATTGGAAGACGACGATAAAGATCACTTGTAAATGAGACCTGTTCCGGATTACATTAGCTTTACGGATGGCCACCATCTCCATGAAGGGTTGATATGAATTGTACAGGAATTTGCCAAATTGTTCCGGGTAACCCACCCGACTGTTGTGTGTTGAGTATTCGTATTTTGTATTTGTATTGTTGTAATTTTCTTTCTCATGTATATGACACATGAAATAGTAATGTCAATTTTCTTTAATTAGATCGATCAATTGATTCCAGAATAATATATATATAAAGGTAAAGAATATTAGAGATTATTAAACTATGTTTATATTAGGAATGGGTCCGGGTTAGGTCCGATCGGAATTTCGGTCCACCCGGCCTGATTCAAAAATCATATATCTTCCACTCGATCCGAAAAATATACACATTCCACCTGATTTTTTAAGATAAAATTTGAATTCAGTCCGATCCGATTCGAAATAATATATTTATTAAAAACATATTTTTATTCAATAAAAATGAAGAATTAATCGAAAAAAATAATATATCGAGGAGTATTGTTGTAATTATCCTAAATAAGATAAAATTACAAATTTTGGGTTGGGTTGAGTATTATTTCACCCTAAACCCGAACCTAATCTGACCCGAACTCGGATTTTTTTTAAAAACCCAACCTGATAACTCTTAACCATTTGATATGGAATGCTCACATGCACAGCCCTGACATTTCTAATATTTGAATCCGAAACCTAAAAAAACAACAATAATTTATTTAACAGCAAGATGGCTTGGTTGGTACTCCTCTATCGATCTTTGATTCTAATCACTATCACCTTCTCTTAATATTGTGTTTTATTTCAATGTTATGACCTCAACAAGATTCAATAAAATATAGAAATATTTTTTCATCAAATCTGCTTGTAGTTTTAATAAAGAGAAAACGAACATATAAACAGAAAATTCATCATTTAACGTAGAAGCCTTGAATATTTAAATACTTTGTACAATATTACTTATTATTGGCTAATAAACCTCACAAATTTAAAATTCAACCACGAGGCCCATCAAACTAGAGCAGCCCATCTATGGGCGTTCTCGGAATTAGGTATCTTGGACAGTATCGTGTAATCATTCTTCATTGCTATATAAGAGGCCTCAGCTAGGTTTGGGGTCTCTTCCACCTCTCCTCGAAGGGAAGCTTCGAAAGCCAACATGAAGACCATTCTTTCCTCCGAGACCATGGACATCCCCGACGGGGTTAGCATTAAGGTTAAGGCCAAGATGATCGAGGTTGAAGGTCCAAGGGGCAAGCTCACCCGCAACTTCAAGCACCTCAATCTCGACTTCCATCTCATCAAGGACGAAGAGACCGGCAAGCGCAAGCTCAGGATAGAGGCCTGGTTCGGCTCCAGGAAGACCAGCGCCGCCATCCGTACGGCTCTCAGCCACGTCGAGAATCTCATCACCGGAGTCACTAAGGGGTACCGTTACAAGATGAGGTTCGTCTACGCTCACTTTCCGATCAACGCCTCCATCACTAACGGCAACAAGTCCATCGAGATCCGCAACTTCCTTGGCGAGAAGAAGGTCCCTCTCGCTCTCTCTCTCACTTTCATTATACATGTTGCTGCTTATACTTTTGTTGAATTTGATTGTTACGGTTGGTTGTATTATTCAAGTAATTGGTAGTGCGATCTCTATTTCTGAAAAATACCCGTTCGATGAATCTTCATTTTGATATGGCCTTTGGTTACAATGAATTTATTGCTGAATGTTTGCCTAGTCTAGTATACAAATATGCTGAAATCATGAATTCCTTTCTACCAATTCTAGTAGAAGAACGTGGTTCTTTTATGCGTAATGATTTAACAGATCCTCATTATGCAATCTTTTCTGTTCACAGTGATACATTCACTGAGAACTATCTCTTGTTAATCCATTTGAAAATCTGTTCCTAAATCCTAAAACAAACCCATAATCTCAACCTGTTTTCATCGTGTGAGCAATATTGGTTGTGTTGAGCCATATCCCATAGGCTATATATTTTTCTTCCTTTTACATTGTACGCAAGAATGATTGAGTTGATGATGTTTATTTTGTTCTATTTATACAATGTCGTTTAATTCTGGCTGATCTTCGGTTCGGTAAACCTCAGGTTCGTAAGGTGGATATGTTGGAAGGGGTTTCCATTGTGAGATCCGAGAAGGTTAAGGATGAGATTGTTTTGGATGGCAATGACATCGAACTTGCTTCCCGGTCCGCAGCTTTGATAAACCAGGTACTTGCCTAGGATGTTTAAAACATTCAGTTCACAAGCCTTATGCAAGTATTTCAAATTTGATTTCCATATATCGATTCACACATTGCTTTAAAAATCTTATCATCCTACCTTCGTTTTAAACAGAAATGCCATGTGAAGAACAAGGATATTAGAAAGTTCCTTGACGGTATCTATGTTAGTGAGAAGGGCAGGATCGTCGAAGAGGAATGATTGTCATCTCCTCGAGTAATAGTTATAGAGCAGCTTTATTTTTGTGTCGTGGTAATATCTTGGGACTTAGGTTGTTGCGTTGTTTTTTCTTTTTCCATGGATTGCAGCTGTTACAGAGTGCAAGGATGTTATTTTTATTTGATTTTGGTTATATGTTTTATCTTTAGTACTCTAATTATGATTCTCATTTCAAGTTTTGTGTTGGTTAATAGAATTGTGCCTCAACGAATTTCATTATCGGCAATTAGCTTTTGTGCAAATTCTTATTGTTGCCAGAAATTTTGACATTGAATATGGAGGTTTAGTCGTGTAGAGATCAGCCTTAATTTATTGCACGAATGGTTCTCCGTGGTAAAGGAATTGTTGTTATTCTTGAGTACCCGGATTTGAGCGCCATGGATACCAGGGATGTACACTTTCAGTGTTAGTAGATTGAGAGTTATCTTTGAATATATATTGTCTTGTACTTATTCCATATTATCAAAAAAATATATATAATATAATAATAACATTTAGATGAATGATATAATAATTAATATTCAGTGAAAATTCAAAAAGACAAATTTTAAATTAAATGTCATGCTAAGTTATAGATTTAATTTTAATTGTAATATGATCATTCATAGTTATAAGAGGAAAAAACATAAAGCAGCAGCAGCTACCTCATTGCCTTTGCTGTGTTTCCATCCAATTCTTATGGCTCAATAATTATTTACTACACATTCAAACTTCATCAATTAGTATGAATCAAGTAATCTCGGTGATAAAGAAATTGTGTGATAAATGAATTGTTGCAATTTGTATGAATCAAACGATCTCGATAATAAATGAATTACAGTAAGTTTTGGGTTTGAGTATTAGAGATAATAAATGAATTACAGTAAGTTTTGGGTTTGAGTATTAGAGATGTGAGCAACTTTATTTAATCTTCTTCACTTCACTCTCAACTCGGGTTTCCTATATTTTAGTTTACTGTTCCGGCAACTTGTTTGTGTGTGTGTGTGTTTTTACAATCGGTTTCTTTGTTTTGGTGGAAACTCAGGTATCCCCGAGTTATGTAGGAGATTTTGATCAGGAAGGTAATCGGAAGAACAAATGGATTACGCTAATCAGGTACGGTATACAAAAGAGCAACCAAATCTTGCTATGGTTCCTGGTCCGGCATCGCCGGGAGCCATCGTCTATGCGTTGATGAGTAGTTTCTTCCGGTGTCAGCGACGGCGGAAGACAACTACAATGGCAAGTGGGACAGGAGGAGTTCGAAACCAACCACCTCTTAATACATTGTACATGGAAAGCATGTTTACATTTAGCCAACACTTGAATTCCATCGCCCTCCTCTAACTCCGACAGGCAAATAGCACATTCCGGTTCACCACCCTCCGCTCCGGCGAGCTTCATACCACCCGAGTAAACCACTGTTGGAACCACCACCAGGCGCGATGTGCCTGCCTCCGGGACAGGCTTTCTCTCCCCGAGCTCCTGCTGGGTACGAGGAAGGTGTCTGCCGACGCCGAAACGCCACGGGTGGTGTTCACCCCCGCCGAGAATGCCGCGTAAGAAGCAGCGGATGGTGGCGTTAAGAACCACGGAGCAGATTAAAGCGCAGAAGAGAATGATTAAGACCGTAGCAACATTATCTTGAAAATTGTTTGAGTTTGTGTAAGGCTGCCACCTGCAAACGTGGGGACTGCACGTGGAGTTCGAAGTTGAAGATGTCAGCGGTGGTTCGCCGGAAGAAACCGCCGGCGCCGGAGGTGGTCGTATTTTGGTTTTTCTTTTCCTTTCTAATTTGGGGTTATGGGAGAAGAATAGTATTGCGTCTGAGATGAAACGAGGGGATGTGTTTTTAATAGGCATATATATTCAAGCAGGGCATCAAGAAATGCATACGTGCATTAAAGTTAACAATTTCTTGTCATTTATTTATTATTTTAATCATAGTCCTTAAACTATTATTAAATAATTATTTTTTTTAAAATAAATATTAAAATTTTAATATGAAAATCCACGTGATAGAAACAAATCATATACAGATAAATGAAGGGATTCCGAGAATGTATGGAATAAGCGCAAGGCAATGGGCTCCAATAATTTGTAGTATTGTGCATGAATCTCTCTCTTAATAGCATTAGCGACGATTGAAACAAAAACGTCGCTTTTGTTGAATAATGTATACACATTAGGTTAAGATTTTGTTCTTAATAAATTCAGATCTTAAATTTATTTCGAATGCTCACGGTTAAAAGATTTGATAATTTTGTCGATATATAAAGATAAATATCTAGCACGAATCAAGTGATTTCTGTGATAAAGATTATTATTATTTCTAACAATCAGGGTTCAAGCATTATAGATGTCATTGGTGTGAGCGCTCAATGTCGAAAGGTTAAAAATTATCTTTGAACAGATAATGACATATATTTACCCAAGATTAATAAAAAAACAGATGAATATCAACTCGTAATGAATTTATATTCCAGAATTAATTTTTTCTTAATAAAAAATTGGTGAATTTATAAACAGAGAAGGTCGAAATTTGTACACTTAATGAGTTAATATCTTAAAAATTAAATTATAATTATGAGTTTATTAACTCAGTTTAATTATCCAATCAATACTAATAATCTATTTTGCAATGGTAGGTAGTATTACTTCCCATGATAAATTTAGGTTGCAATCAACTTTTAGACAAAGGGTAGACCCCATGAAAGGCCTATGACCTTTAAATAAGATCATTGAATAGCACAATGGTTGCTTTGCCATTTTGATTTGTGATAATGTTTCTATTTTAAAACCAAAGTGAAAGGAAGTGGGTGAGTGGGGTGTTTTTTTGGTCGTATTAGGGTTTAAAGATAAATACCATGAGGTAATCTAAAACAGGGTTAAGATACATTTATACCGTGCAAAACTCAGTGGTGTATCCATAAATATTTTTCATGATGGGCACATATATTAACAATATAAAATTTTTAAACTGAATGAATACAAATAAAATTTCAGGGGCATCGTCCGTAAAATAAGTATCTAATCGAAAAAAACTCATATTTTAGAGTGGGCAAGAAAAATTTCAGGGTGGACACCATCAATAAAATAAGTAACTAATCGAAGAAAATTCAGATTTCAGGGTGGGCATATGCCCACTCTCACCAAGCTGTGGCTCTGTCACTTGTAAAACTCCTATAATTTTATACCTTTTTAAGATCGTTCGATTGAGTGAAATTAAAGACTGAGATTAACTTCTTATTTTTTCTAATAAATATTTTCTCATTCTCTACTTTTAATATCGACCTTTAATTTCTCTCATTTAATTAAAAAATATATAAACTAAAAGAGTTATACACAATATAATTTAATCCTATCCTTTAATATATATATATAAATGATAGATCAGATTTACGATTTCATATAAAAGATTATATTTTAATAAATAAATAAATAAACTATAGATGATAGTGAATAATGTAGAGTGAAGAGTACATGAAGCGTCAACATTGTAATGGAATTATTATATGGATGGACCCTGGGTTTTCAGACAAATGTGATCCACTTATGTCTAATTGGGATAGATAGGCCCACCAGAAGCTTCTCAAAATATCGATTCTTAATATGTATAGGATAAATTACGCAATTTAGTTTTTGTCGCATCTACAGTTGTCGGTCATTGCATTCATCTGTCGATGAAGCATAAACTTTTTGACCCACAAATTTTCGACTCCTGAACACAATTTTGGTCTCCGTTTCATCGGAAAACACTTTGATCTCTCCAAATCGACGATGGGATATTCGATTTCTTCATCCTCGGATCTCCGTCGTTAACTGTTCAATGGGCCTGAAACTGGACTATGTTGGTCGACTCATCATTCTCTCGTGGTCCACCATTATGATTGCTCATCCGTCCATCGGAGCTACACATCATCAGCTCGTCCGTTAAGTTTTTAATGGTAGTATATTAAAATAAAACAAAAACTAAACGTTAGGTATAGTTTTATAAACATTGAAAGTTTAAATATTAAAACGGACCAAACTAATAATTTAGGTACTAAATATATACTTACCCTTAGTTGATGTTAAGTTAACAATGTACCTTTGACGTAGTCATCAAGTATTTACTTTAAAGCTCAATAACTCTTTTTTTTTATTTCCTTGCAACTTTGGAAAGGCCTAAAAATAGTATGAATGAAGTAAATTGGGTTGGGAGAGTCGTTATTGTCTCTCTAAATAAATCGATTAATAGATCGGATATAGATATACTTAAAAAAAAATTAATAATGAATATAAATATTATATAATTAAAATTTTAGAGTTTAAATGTATTTTGTGAAAATGAATGCTTGATGGTAATTGACAGGGTTTTCTAGGGCCTCCTAATCGGTGAAGAGACGCTAGACAGAATCCGAGAAAAGACAGACGCATGAGGACTTAAAACAACAACTAGATGCCATTGCCATTGCCATTGGAAGATGATTATGCTTCAAGAAAGTGATGGAACATCAATTTAAGTTGAAATTAACAGATTATGCTCTGATTCGATTTGATATGATTGAATTTTAAAATAATCGAGTTTGGGTTAATTCGGGTCAGATTTTTTAAGAGGACGGGTGGAGGTTGAAAAAACTTTGATCCAAACCATCTTAGGGGTAATAATATAATTTCTTTTTTAAAATATTATTATTTTAATTAAGTATTTATTTTATACCGAGTCAAGTCGGATTTATACTCTAAAAATTTGGGTCGGGCCAAAGTCGGATGGAGGATATATAATTTTTTGCTCGAGTTGAGTTCGGGTGGAGGATACATATTTTCGGCTCGGGTTGACAAAAAACCCGACCCAACCCAAACCGTTGCCATCCCTAAACGTATCGACCATTTGCAAAACTAGGGTAAAATACACTAGAAGTCATTAAAAATGTAAAAAAAATGATATTTTTGGCCGATGGCCTTTCAAATGTTCCAATTGTAGCGTACCATTTGGATCTCATCGTTCCTCTAGCGGCAATGGTGGTTGAGCTTTGATGTTGGTTAGACTTTCCATTTCCAAACGTCGGTTTGGGTATTGTAGTGGTGATTGCCAATATGCCTACTCAGCACTTCGGTTGTTTTCCAATTGCAACCGAGTAGTGTTTTGCATGTTTCTCACTAGTCAAAAGCAAGCCAACGACCTCTTTTACCTTGCATAAACACTTGTATTAATGTGCTTTTGCATTGCATTGGTTCAACTGTCCAAATACAACTTACCAAAGAAAGCAAACTAATGAGACCAACTATAGTAAAGATGTCCAACAAAGTGGTAGGCCCAAATTGGCATAACCTTGACCAACCTTGTATTGACCAAGTGGTGGGTATTTTAAGAGAACCGTAATGATACCCTTGAAAAGAATAGACAAATGAAGTTAAGGACCATTGCCCCAAACCAATTAGTTTGTTAACCATGTGCCCTTCAATTACATTGTATTGACATAGAGTTTTGAGGTTATTAGAAAATTAGATCTTTGTTGGATACGTGGGCTTGGGTTATTGGATAATATTATATATATTCAACACATGTGGACAATGGGCAAATTACCCAATACTTCTTTCTTTAGTTCCCCCCCTATGATTAGGCCATTAGGGGCGCTCTAGGTTTCAAGGAGTTGTACGGCGCTGTGCTTTCTTGAATGAATAAAGGAATCTTACCACCAGCAACTTCTTAAGACCGAATAAATGAAATATAAACTTAAATGAAATGTTTATTTCAAAACGTTTATTCATTCAAGAAAGCACAGCGCCGTACAACTCCTTGAAACGTTTTGAATGTTTGTTTATTCTAAAGATCTTGGGTGTAATTGAATCGAGTTTGAACGAATAAAGTTATATTCGTGTTTGTTTATTTATTTTTTAAGCTGTTCAATTTTAGTTCGTGTTCGTTTAAAACTTTAATATTGTGTATGTGTTCGTTTATTTAATTTTGGAAGTGCTAGTGTTCATTTATTTATTGTTCATAAAAGTGTTCATTTATCGTTTATGGGCATGCTCGTTTATATATTTAATTTTTAAATTTATCCTTTCATACGCAAGCTAAAGAAAAATAATAATATTATGCCACTAGTGTTCAAACTCTTTAAAATTCATAGTTTAAATTTTAACTTTTATCATGTGTTCGATTTAGTCCATACCTTAACTAATATTTAAAATATAAAAAAATAAAAGGAAAGGGAAAACCAGATAAATAAGCTTGTTCATGAACATAATTGAACGAATCGATAAACGAACTTATTCATGAACATAAACGAACCGAACACACCTCTATTTATATTCTCGTTTATTAAATTAACATAATTTTTTTTATTCATACTTGTTTATTTAAAACATAAACAAACATTTATTAAAATAGTTCACGAATGATTAACTAAACACTCAATTCATTTACGCCCTTAAAATATAGTATAATATTTTAATTAATTATTAAAACATCTCGTGTTGTTTGTTTTGGAAGGAAAATATTGTAATGTAGATGCCGTGGAAAATCTGAAGGTTTATACAACAAATGAGTATCTAAAGTATGTTTTTTTAAGTATTTAAAATATAAATATTTTTTGATCAAAATAAGTATTTGAAATTATTTTTTTGTCAAAATAAATATCTAAAGTATTTTTTTATTAAAATAATACTTAAAGTAATTGATTTTTTTCATCTAAATTCGTAAGTATTATTTAATTAATGTTATATATCAACTTTTTAAGAACTTAGGGGTTGTTTGTTTGTCTCTTAATAGAATCATTCAGCGCTGAATGATGAACCGTTCAGCATTCAGTGCGTTTGTTTCGCACCTCTGAATGATGCAGTGCTGACTGATTCAGCAAAACAATGTTGAATGATTC